TTTTTTTTTTTTTTTGCAGATGAGGTAGATCTGTATACTTCTGTTGTTAGCTGTGAAAGAGCCAGTAAATAAGGAGAGATTGAAGATAAGGGAGAGGTAGAAGGTGAATAATCAAAGGGGCAAACAAGAAGGGTTGAAATCATGGGGACAAGTAGAAGAGTTGGCCATTGTTAGAAGTAAGATCACCATTTCCTTAGAGACTAGAGCAAAGGAGAAGAGAATAGGAAATGATGTAGAATAATTTTGAGTTATTACACCCAGAGAGAGTTTTCAGTGACCTTGTGAATCCATCCTATCCCTGAAAGACATTTGTGCAATGGAGATTTTAAAATTGTCAAATTACAAAGAGATTAAGGGGACCTTTGCTATCATTTTTGCTTTGAAATCCATGATTCATAGTTACAATAAAGCTTCAATAAATTCACAAATATTTCATTAAAAATTAAAAGATGATACTATTTGTAACACACTACTTTAGACAAATGTAAAATAATACTTCTACATTTAATGATATACATTCATTTTGTAGATTTTTCCATTATTATTAATTATCAATATGTTCTGTCCCATTATCATTAATTCTTATTCCTGTTCAGTCTCAACAGGAAAATACTACTTTTCTATTCAAGTATCATTCTTACTAAGCACAGAGGCAAAGTCTTCCTTTTAGGAGAAGCTTGGCATATCTTAGTATCACAGATTTGGAACTACTAGTATATGGCACCACCCAATGGCAATTAAAAATATTTCTTTAAACATAAGTAGCAAACTAAATAAGTTTCAGCACAAGGTGGGTTGCTTCAAACAAAATCTTTTGTCTAGGAGCAACCATGAATAGAATGGAATCAAGTTGAAAATCAAACTTTGATTTAAAAATTTGATTTAAAAAGGTCAAGACTATTGTGGAAGAGAGGGGTTTTTGGCTTTCTGAAGTCCTTAACAGGGAAAATGGTATAATCAAGGAAAAGTAAACACAAGTTTAAATGTGTTTCCCTTCTTTTCTCTCAACAGACTAATATTAAATTTTAAGGCTAAATTATTATAAGGCAGGGCCTTATTTTCAACAATAATTTAAAGAAATGGAACTATTGCACAAAGGAGGGAATGCGTAATTGTCCATGACTTCTTCAGAAAAAGGAATCTTTCTATTGGTTCAAATAAAATCATCACTTTCAAAAAATTCTGTTGGAACGTGAAACAAAATGAAACAAAACCATTACATAGTAGCCTATCATTTAATTTTTTGTATGTGTATATTGACCCAAGTGACTCCAAGACTATAAATTGTAGAATAGTTATTAATCTGCACTGATAGAGGGAATCCCTTACTAGGATTTCCCTCTATGGAAGAAATCACAAATTTGGATTTAAAACAACAACAATAACAACAACCACCATAGCAACAATGAGACCAAGTGTCTTATCCTTCAAAATGGATAAAACCCCAAATTCCCCTGATTGAAAACTGGTTCTAAAACAGAAGATTGCAAATGTGAGAACCTAAATAATCAGTACTGAGGATGCTCTCCTTAGGACTGGATCCCTCCATGTCCCACAATAAGAACTAAATGTTGAAAAACCAACAGAGGCTAGGGAATCTCTACAACACTATGGAAAGGCTTAAGAAAGAAAGAAGAAGTTGTTTTCTTGTCATCACAGATGAGAATTCATACTTGAGGGAACATACTGCACCATCTGAACATTTGTATAAGTTTGAACACAGAGACAACAGACCACATCTATACCCTCATTTTCCTTTTCTATAAATATTGACTTTTGATGTACAAGTCTTTACATATTACTGCGCATTTTTGTTCTTTTCCTTTGTCTCTTCTTTTCTAATCATTCATCAAACTCTCCTCAAGGGCAAAGAAATAGTATCAATCGTCCTCTCTTTGTTTTTAAAATCCATGACCACTAAAATTTCTAATTTCTCTTCATCCTAGGCCTCTGTCATGGAATATGTTATTGCCTTGACTTCAAACCTCTGAGAAAGTTTAGAAAAAGAAAATTTCCTCTCCCCAGTCAAATGTGATTTGACATCTCTTTGATCCATATAGAGTATTTTCACCTCCTGGAACTACCATGAATTCATTATGAATTCATTCAATTTCTACAGACCTCCTTCATCCAAAAGAATACGTATAAGACACTGCAGGCTATCTTCCACCCTCACTATTTTTAGTGCCTGAGTTCCCCTGTTGGCTAAACATGAACATTGCTAAAAATCTTCTTCTTAGATGTCTCCCAAGGAATGCAAATCACAGTCCCCCTGTGATCCAGATACTCATATTTCCAAGGTAATAACTTTGTTCAAGGGTAAATCTTGCCCATCTTCCAAAAAGAGGTGTTGTCCTCTTCCTAAGGGAGGAAACTGGGCCTCACTCAAGATCTCAGGTTTCCTCTGGTTCAGTGGAAGAGATTGGGGGTCTGCCTCTCACAGGCACATAGGTGGTCTTGAACTGGAATCTGGGGAAAGCACAAAAGAAGCCCGGCTTTATGACCTGGTTTTCTTAGAGAAGTAGGAGGCAAAGGTCTTTGCTAAGAGAGAGAAGGAAGTTTGCAATAGTCTTCTAGGGTAGTATAACAGTCAGGGAAGAATAAAATTATTGACCAGTGCAGCAATGAGGGAATGGGAGAGATCAGATACCATGAATTTGTAAAAGCCCCAGTTTGCTAAATTTTTGTGTGACAATATTTAGCTGGGTTCAGAAGTCATGGAGTAGAAGAGAAGGCAGATGGTAGTGGTAAACCCAGGGTTGCATTTGGATAGGGCAAAGGATTGCAGGGAATGTGTATAGTTAAGTTAATCAACCTTACAGTTAAGAGTGTCAAGGCAAGAATGTGAAGCCCAAACAATAATGGATTGGAAAGAGGAGTATAAAAAGTAGAGGTCACAATGAGTATGAGGAATAGTTTTAAGATTGCTGTAGAGAGATTAAAGGATAGAAGGTTATGATAAAAGAGGGGTATTTCAACATTCAGAACTTTGCAGATGACAGTTATGGATGATGAAATTGGAAATAAGATCCTTCAGGGCAGGGATTTTTGGCTTTTTATATCTGCAGTGCCTAGTATAGTACCTGGTATAGAGTAGACACTAAATGAATGAATGAATGAATAAGCAAACAAATACTAATTAAATGAGTTCTAAATGTGATCATCCTTTTTCAATAGCTAAGGAGGAGTAGGCAGAAAGAGTATATAGGTCATGGGAGTTGAGGAGGTTAAAGAACTAGGATGCCAGATAGCGCATTAATGTAGATATCATAATCCCTCAGCATTAGTGAAGGCAGGTAGGAATTTAGAGTAAAAAAGAAGATGAGAAGACTGAACTTGAGAATGGAAGGAAAGCGAACTGGAGTGTGGTAGATGACTGCAACAAGGATCTAGACAGGGTGTTATGGATGGATGGGGTTATAAAAGTTCTGGAAAAGCTTAAACTGCCTTCCCTACAAGGATGGATAGATCTCTAAAAACCCTGGACAGTGTTTTTCTCCTGGCTCAAGAAGAGAGCAAACTAATATGAGAAGAGGACTAGAGAGAGGGTGGAGTCCCCCACTACAGCAGAAGTTTTAAGGATCTCTTAAAGATCCTTAAAGAGAGAGGAAAGGGAGATACATCAAAAGAGGAGAGGCATGATGGCAACAGAGGTTACAACATTGTCAACTCTCCTTCTCAAACCCACTTTTTCTGGCAGCCTGGAGAGGAGAAAAATAAAGCAGCAAGGTTTAAGACTGTGGATTTATTCATTTCTTTTTATCATTGACACTTGTTCAGGTGATCAGAAAATCATAAACAAACAGATAAGGAGGAACAAATGATCCTTATTCCCCTCTATTTCTCTTCCAATCCCAGAACAAAAGCAGTACCAACAAATCCCTTTGTCCATCTCTCGCAAATATATGGTTTCTTAGTGAGACCTTCTCTATAATACCTTGTCAGACATGATTAATCACTATACAGAAGATTTGATTAAGTACTCTTGTGATGTTATTACCACCATTGATTTTCCTTTACATTACTTAAAACACTGTAGCCATTATTCTGCCACTGCCTGCCTGGTTCCTATATGTTCTCTCCATGGTGCTGCAGTCACCACAGTGGAAGGCATTGGAAGCATCAGAACCAGGATTCATCCAGTTCAGGTAAGGCTACATTGTAACTTGTGCCATTGAGGAAAGATCCTTGGACTTGAAATCAGAAAATGTGGATGCTCCCCAGCTAACTTGTTGCATAACCTTAAGCAAATCACTTCTCTCCAAACTGCATTTTCTACTTCTGTAAAATGAGAGGATTAGATCGGATGATTTCAAAGATTCTTTTTGGCTCTAGTAGTCAATGAGTAGTGGAATCAAAGTTTCAGCATTTCTAGGCTTTGTTCAGAAATGGACATTCTCCACTTAGGGGTGATGAACTATGGCAATGTTTTGTATTAAAAGGTGTTTCAGTCCTTCAGATTGTGTGAATCTTTAGATTTAATCAGTTTCCTTCATTATTTATGACCGATCCTACAAGTTTTATTTTCTATGCCTCTAAGTTAAAATGAAAATGACTTTCAATCAATTTTATAGAGGAAAAAATGAATGGATGTACTAGAAAATATATACTGTACTCAAAGTATCAAATGGATCTGGGACTTCAGCAATGTGGAAACTCTCTCCATTGATGTAGATGGCTCATCCATTCTCTTCATCCAGGGTGACTTTTGTCCATTTTTCATTTTCATTGTCCATTTAAATTTTTTAGAGAGCCTTCAGTATAGCTTGTTAGCATAGAATATCATAGGCCTTTGTTTCAGATAAATGTTGAGGTCATTAAAAAACTTTGCAGTTTCCTAAAGGCAATCCAACCTACTCTATTGCTGGGCATATCATCCATCCATCCATCTACTTACCCAGCCACCCACCTATCCATCCATTCACCCATCTATCTATCTTCTATCTTTTCATTTATTCCATTTTTCATATTATTTTATCCTTGTGGGGAACTACTAATGTGGAAATTCCTGTTACTATAAGGCAGATTACCAATACTCCTCATAGACTTGAGGAGCTTGCCTGTAGCAATGAAAAGCTCAATTATTTTCCTGCTGCCACACTCTTAGTATGTACATCAGAGGTAGGATTTGAATCCAGGTCTTCTTACCTCCACAACAGGCCCTCAATCCACTACCACATGTTGTCTCTCATATTATTCCTTATATTCAGGCATGTGTTAGATCCTGCTTGAATCAGCTTGTGAGAACAGGGGAGCCAATTGTTAAATTTTCAGCGTGGACATTTACAAATTGGTAATTGTTATAAATTAGGATTTGATTTCTTATTTGGTTAGTTTTCATGACTTAAGAAAGTGTTAAAATACAGATTAAACATATAGATGTGCTATAGTATATATTTCTTCTCCCAGAAAGCCTGGTTGTTAAGCATTTACCAGCACACCAAAGTTTACATTCCAAAATAATGTCATCCTTTTTGATAGTGCTACTAAGAACAGTACAGTGATTGATATATAACTGTACAGTTATAGGATTTAAAGCTGAAAGGGTCCTTAGAGATCTTCTATCACTCCTCCATTATTAGAGAATAGAAATAAAGGTTAGATGAAAATCACATTATAAACATGTTGAAGACCAACTGTGCTTAGAACATTCTTTGGCAGAAAATCCTGGTGTTCTTATAGTTCATCTTCCTTGAAAGCAGGGAAAGAAAGGGAAAAAGCACAAACAGACCACAGCAATGACCCACTGAATATTTGCTTATCCTCCAGGATGTTTTTTTTTTCCCTTAGCCCTTCAAAAATTTGGTCCAAGAATAATATTGCTTGAAGTGTGCTGCTGTGCCCTTAGAAAAATCTCAATTTCAAGAAATAGTGGCTTGTTCCTGGGTGACTTTTCTTGAATAGAAGTTTGTTTTGTCATTTTAAACTAGATATGTGCTTTTTGATGATCAAGATTGAAAAATATTGCTGGCTTAAGATATAATATTTTTTTTCCTCTCAGGAGAGGCTTGCTAAATGCCATGGCACTCAGTGTGGATTCTGTAGCCCAGGAATGGTGATGTCCATATACACTCTACTGAGGAACTACCCAGATCCAACCACAGATCAGTTAATGGAAACTCTTAGTGGTAAGCTTCCTCATCTATGATAAATCAAATTCTCTTCACATTTCTTCCTTACTACGTGAAGTAACTCATAGAGTGCAAAAGACCTTTTAGACTTAAGGCACAATGGAAAAGAGCTTCAGAAAGTATCTAACAACAGATTCTGGTATAGGGCACCTGATCAACTTCCAAATCTGAGTTCATTGATCCTTGTGAAGTTTTATGAATTGATTCTCATTTGGAAGCTTAAAAATGGATCAAATATATCTAAGACACTGTTCTATTTGGTCATCTTGTGGATTTATGTTCATTGTTCAGATAAAAAAACTTGCATTTGATTCTTAGAAGAGAAAGTTTTTTGATATTCACCATTTTTAATTGACATGGATATGTCAGGTCAGCCTTAAAGAGAAACTTATTACTTCTTTCTATTCTTTTTGCTAATCCAGATGAAATATTATTGCCTTAGTCTGACCATGTAGACCAAGCAGCCTACTCTCAGCCAAAGAAGAAAAACTAAGGAATTTAGATGGACACACAATCCATTCCATGTGGTTTTATTGGTATTTATTTTTAACATTCATTTTTAAAAACTTTGAGTTAAAAATACTTTCCTCACCTTTCTCCTTTCTGCCACCCACTAAGAAGGCAAGATATATATCAATTGTACGGGTAAAGTCACGCAAAACATTTCCATATTAGCCATCTTGCAAAAAAAAAGGCAAAAAAAGTGAAAAAAATGCTTCAGTCTGCCCACAAAGTTCAACAGTTTTCTTTCTGGAGATTGATGGAATTTTTTCCCATGGGCCCTTTGGACTTATCTTGGATCATTGTCTTGATCAGGCTCATGAAATCTCACAGATAATCATCATTATAATATTACTGCTACTGTGGACAATGTTCACCTGGTTCTTCTCATTTTGCTTTGTATCAGTCCATACAAGTCTTCCCTGGCTTTTCTGAAACCATTCTGTTCATCATTTTTTTTGACGGCACAATAATATTCTATCACAATTACATGCCACAACTTGTTCAGGTATTCCCCATTTGATGAATATCCTTTCAATTTCCAATTCTTTGCCACTACAAAAAGATCTACTTAAATGTTTTTGTACATGTGAATCCTTTTTCTTTTTTTTTTATCTCTTTGGAATACAGACTTAGAAGTGGTACTGGTGAATCAAAAGTTATGCACAGTTTTATAGCCCTCTGTATATAGGTCCAAATTGTTCTCCAGAATATTTGGACCAATTCACATTTACACCAATGGTTCATTAATGTTTCTATGTTTTCAAATTCCCTTCAGCATTTGTGGTTTTCCTTTTCTGTGATGTTATCCCATCTGACAGATGTGAAATGGTACCTCAGAGATGTTATAGCTTGCATTTGTCTAGTCAGTCTTGAAATAGAACATTTTTAAATGTGGCTATTGATAGCTGTGATTTCTTCTTCTGAAAACTTCCTGTTTATATCCTTTGACCTTTTGTTAATTGGAAACTGGCTCTTTTTTTAAAAATATATTTGCCTCAGTTCCCTATATAATTGAGAAATGAGCCCCTTTCCAGAAAAACTTGTTGTAAAATTCTTCCCGCCCCACCCCGTCCAGTTAACTGATTTTCTTTTAATATTGGCTGGATTACTTTTGTTTGTGCAAAAATAATTTAATTTCAAGTAATAAAAATTATCTATTTTAACTCCCATGATCTTTGTCTCTTCTATGGACATAAAATCTTCAGTTATTCATAAATCTGACAGGTAAATTTTTATATGCTCCTCTAATTTACCTCTGATATGACCCTTTATATCTAAATTATTTACCCATTTTAACCTTATTTTGGTATGTGATGTGAGATGTTAGTCTATACCAAATGTCTGACAAAATGCTTTCCAATTTTCACAACAAATTTTGGGAAATAGTGAGTACTTGCCCCCAAAGCTTGGATCTTTGGGTTTATCAAACACCCAATGACTATGATCATTTACTACTATCTAATCTATTCCACTGATCCACCACTCTATTTCTTAATTCATACCAGAAAATTATCATGATTGCCACATTTTAATATAGTTTGAAATCTGGTACTGTTAGTCTATCTCCTTCATTTTTGTTCTTCATTGATTTCCCTTAATGTTCTTGACCTTTTGTTTCTGGAGATGAATTTTGTTTTTGCTTTTCTCTCCTACCTCCACAAAATAATTCTTTGACATTTACTGAATAAATAAATTAATTTAGTTAGAGTCATCATTTTTATTATCTTGACTTGGCCTACTTATGAGCAATTAATATTTCTGCAGTTGTTTAGATCTGTCTTTATTTATATGAAAAGTGTTTGGTAATTGTGTTCTGATAGTACCTGGGTTTGTTTTGGCAGGTAGAATCCCAAGTATTTTACTTATTTTAAGTGCTTGTTTTAAATGGAAATTGTCTTTCTATCTCTTGCTGCTGGGTTTTACTGCTAGTATATGGAAATGATGATTTATGTGGGTTTATTTTGTATCCTGCAACTTTACCAAAGTTGTTAGTTTTTCAACTAATTTTTTGTTGATTCTCTAGGTTTCTCTAAATATAACATCATATTATCTCCAAAGAATGATCGTTTTGTTTCTTCATTGCCTATTTTAATTCATTTTTTCTTGTCTTATTGCTATAGTTAGCATTTCCAATATGATATTGAATAAGAGTTGTACACCCTTGTTTCACCTCTGTTCTTACTGAGAAGGCTTCTTTTTTTTACCCTCATTCCATATATAATGCTTTCTCTTGGTTTTAGATGAATATTATGTATCATTTTAAGAAAGGCTCCAACAGTCCCTATGATTCCTAGTGTTTTAAATAGAAGTTGGTGGTGTATTTTGTCAAAAAGTTTTTATACATCTATTGAAATAATCACATGCTTTTTGTTGTTTTTATAATTAACGTAGTTAATTATGCTTACAGTTTTCCTAATTTTGAACCAGCCCTGCCTTCCTGGTATTTTCACCTGGTTATAATGTATGATCTTTGTAATGTATTATTGTAATCTACTTGCTAGTATCTTATTTAATTTTTTTAATCAATATTCCTGAGGAAAGTTGGCCTATAGTTTTCTTTCTCTATTTGTGCTTTCGCTGGCTTAGGTATGAAAACCATATTTTTGTCATTAAAGGAATCTGGTAGGGCTCACTTTTTACCTGTCTTTTCAAATAGTTTATATAGTTTTGGGATTCATGGTTCCTTAACCTTTTAGAATGGTAGAATGGTAACCATGGTAGAATTCAAATGTAAATTCATCTTGTTCTTGGGATTTTTTTTTTAGAGAGTTCATCTATGGTTTTTTCAATTTCTTTTGATAAGATATAGCTAGTTAAGCATTCTATTTCCTCTTCTATTAATCTGAATTGTTTATTTTTTGTAAATATTTAGATGTTTCATTTAGATTGTCAGTTTTACTGTCATATGATTTTCATAATAACTTCTAATAATTGTTTTAATTTCATCTTTATCAGTGGTACAATCACCCTTTCCATTTTTGACACTAGTAATTTAGTTTTCTTATTTTTTCTCTTAAATCAATTTAATCAATGGCTTACTATTTAATTTTTTTCATAAAACCATCTCCTATTTTATTAGTTCAATTTTTCTTTTACTTTCAACTTTATTAATCTCTCCTTTGATTTTTAGAATTTATTTTTTAGTGTTTAATTGGGGAATTTTAATTTGTTCTTTTTCTAGTTTTTTAATTACATACTCAATTCATTGATCTATTCTTTCTCTCTTTTACTGTTGTGGACATTTACAGATATAAAATTTCCCATAAATACTACTTTGCCTGCATCTCACAATATTTGGTATATTCTCTCATTGTTGTCATTATATTTAATAAAAATATTGATTGTTTCCATGTATTCTTTAGGATTAATTTTTTTGTTTCCAATTAATTTTTAATATATGCTTCCGTGACCCTTTATTAAATATGATTTTTATTGCATTATACCCACAGAAGAAGTATATTTAGCAGTTCTGTTTTTCTCTATTTGTTTGTGACATATTTTTTTTGCCCTATTACATGGTCAATTTTTGTGAAGATGCCATGTATAACTGAGAAAAAGTTATATTCTTTTCTATTCCCATTCATTTTTTTCCTCCAGAGGTCTATCATATCTGACTTTTTAAAAATTCTATTTATCTATTTGTCATCTTTTTAATTTATTTTATGGTTAGATTTATCTAGCTCCATGAGGAGAAAGTTGAGATTTTCACTAATATAGTTTTACTGTTTCCTCCTGTAACTCATTTAACTTTTCCTTTAACAATTTGGCTATCGTATCCAAAGCGTATTAGGTGCCTATATGTATAGTATTGATATTACTTCATTGTCTATGGTACTTTTAAAGAAAATGTAGTTTCCCTGATTTTCTCTTTTTATTATGTCTATTGCTTTTGCTTCATTTACATCATGATTGCTAACCTGCTTCTTTTGCCCAAGTTGAAGTATAATAGATTCTGCTTCAGTCCCTTTCTTTAACTCTGTGTATGTCTTTTTGTTTCAAGTGTGTTTCTTGTAAACCAACATGTTAATGGGTTCTGGTTTCTAATTCATTCTACTATAAGCTTCTGTTTTATGTGTAAATTCACCCTATTTACTTTCATTTACATGATTATTAACTGTGCTTTTTCCTCCATCCTATTTTCTTCTGTTTATCCTTTCTTTTTTCTGGATGTTATCCTGTCCTTTCTGTTTCACTTTTGACCTCACTTAATCTTTCTTTTTTTCATTACTCCTTCTTTCTTTTTTCCCTTTCCCTTCCTACTTTTTCATTTGGTAAGATAGATTTATGTATCCAATGGAGTGTATATGTGCCTCTTTTTCCATTCATCATGCTTTTTAAGAGGTTATTTTCATTAGTGAAGTTTTGTATTTCTTTTTTCTATTTGATCAATTCTGTTTTTTAAGATGTAATTTTCTTCAGTATTCATGTGTTTCTCTTTTACTGATCTGTTAATTATCTTTTCATAATTTTCTTGCATCACTCATTTCTTTTCTAAATTATTTCCTTTACCATTCTGATTTTTAAAATCATCTTTAACTCTTTCCAGAGTTCTTGTTAGGCTTATGACCAAGTCACATTTTTCTTTGAGTCTTTGCTTGATGCCTTCTTTTGAATTTTTGTCTTAATTCTCCAAGTTACCCTTCACCATAGTATCTTTTTTATTATTAGTTCCTCCTCCTCCTCCTCCTCTTTTCTTGGGTCCAAAGACTCAATATGCTATATATTTTAATTCTAAGTACTTGTCTTCACAAGCCTTTAGAAGTGCTTCAGGATCTAAGAAATACTCTGTCAAAAAAAAAAAAAGCTTTAAACTACTTAGCCTTTAATCTGTTAATGGATATCAGAGAGATGTTAATTGTTCCCTTAAGACTCTTTTTTACTCTATAATCATCATTGCTATTAAGTATTTTCTTTTCCTTTTTTCTATGTAATGTTGATAATATTTATCTCTTCCAAATAAAAGATATATTTGGATTGTAACTATCTAATATACCTGTCTGTGTATATTTACTAATTTTTAAGTTTATGTTAACCATAAAAATTATTTTGTATTAAATTATTAAAGATTTATCAGTAAAATTATCAGCCTAGTAATTTTTAGCAAATGCAAGGCTTCTCAAACCATTAGGATAGTTTATTTTTTCTTTTTAATTAAGAAAATTATTTTTTCCATTTTTATTGAGATTTTAAAATTATATTTTTACTACCTTCATTTTTGAATATATACTTCTCCACCTTGTTAGTCATACTTTTAGCAAAGAATAAAAAATTATGGGAGAAAGCAGTTTAGCAAAACTAACCAATACACAAACTGAGTTTGACAATATATACAATATTTCTCCCTCATAGTCCCTTACCCTTTAAAAGATAAGGAGGAAGTGATTGCTTCTTTATTAAATGAGTCATTTGAATGATTTAAAGACAGGATAATTTTAAAATGTAATTATACTGGTTTCCTCATAGGTTCCATTGACTGCCCATAAATTTTTGCCATTTGAATCAATACGTATTTATTGAGCAACCATCACCCATGCAAGACACTCCATTAAATATTGTGAGGTGGACAAAAAAAAGTGAAAAAGAAGTAAAGCTTCCTTTATTTCCATATAACTATGTTAGGGAAATAAGGGTCATACAAATAATACAAGCAGTAAGTAATAAGCCCACATATGTGGCACAAACAATATGTGCTGTATAGTACATAGGAGGGAAAGATGACTTCAAAATAGCCTTATCAGGGATGACTTCACAGAAGAGATCAACTTTAATCTGGGTCATGGAGGATGACTACTGTTTCAACAAGTTGAGAGAAAAGAGATGTCATTTGAGGAAAGGATACTTAGGAGTAAAGGTATGAAGGTAGATGTATCCATACCTATGTCAGCTCTGTTTATATTGTTTATATATCTATCTCTACTTCTGTCATATCTCCAATTTGCATTTCTGTATCTGTCTCTTTAGCTATCTCTATCTCTCTCTTTGTCTCTCTCTAGGTGTATTACCTGTACTTCTAGCTAATCTAATCTGATTATCTATCTATCTATCTATCTATCTATCTATCTATCTATCTATCTATCTACCTACCTACCTACCTACCTGTCTATTTTGTGAACAGAGAACCAGTGTGACTAAAGAAATTAAATGTGGAAGAGCAGTGGGAAAGAAGGTTTCAGGGCTAAATTGGGAAAAAAGGAAAAGACAATACTTAATAGCAATGATGATTATAGAGTAAAAAAGAGTCTTAAGGGAACAATTAACACCTCTCTGATATCCATTAACAGATTAAAGGCTAAGTAGTTTAAAGCTTTTTTTTTTTTTGACAGAGTATTTCTTAGGTCCTGAAGCACTTCTAAAGGCTTGTGAAGACAAGTACTTAGAATTAAAATATATAGTGTCTTGAGTCTTTTGTCCCGAGAAAGGAGGAGGAGGAGGAGTAGGAACTCATCATAAAAAAGATACTATGGTGAAGGGTAACTTGGAGAATGGGCAGAACTTTTGTGAAGAAGTTTAGTTTTATTTTGATATGTGATTTTATCAATTTGAGGAACTCCATTGTGGAAATTCCTTCCATCAATGTAGACCAGCACCTCATCTCTACATTATGATATTAGATAACTGCTTGGAGTACTGAGAAGTTATTTCTTGCTATGGTCACATAACTAGTATGTGTCAGAAGCAAGATGTGAACTCAGATCTTGCCTCCAAGGCTGACACTCTATACACTATGACACTTTCACTCTTATTTTTATAGTTTGAATGGAAGAAAAATGTATTATTGATACAAGTACAAAGAACAAGGCAATCCCTATGTATGATAAGCTTACATTCTAATGGGGAAGACAAAAAGTACACCTGAAAATACATATATAATAAATATAAAATTAATAAATAGAAATATATACAGAGTTGTTAAATTCAAGGTAGTTTAGGAAGGAGACCCCCAGGAATTGGGAACAGGGAAGAGAGAGTTAGAAGAAGCTTCATGCAAAAGATGGTGCCTAAGCTACATCTTAAAGGAAGCAAAGGAGTGCGAGGCATTAAATAAGCACTGAAAAAGCAGAGAGACAGGAGCTGGATTATGCTGTATGAGGAATAGAAAGATGTTCAATTTGACTCCAACATAGAATGCAGGGGGGAGAGTAATAGCCAATGAGGCTGGAAAGAGAAAATGGGCGAGTTTGTGAGGAGCTTTAAAATCTAAACAGAGAAATTTATATTGGATCCTAGAGTGAATAGGAAGCCACTGGCACTGATTGAGTGGAGAAGTCACATAGTCAGATCTGCCCTTAAAATAGATCACTTTGGTAGGAGGGTTTGAATGGACTGGAGTGGCAGA